AGATAATTTGTGTCTATAAATATAAGCTTACACATAAGTTTTTTTTAAATTTCAAATTTTATAGTGACTTTTTGATAAAATAAGAAATAGGGGTATTTTTAAAAAAGTGGTATTGGAAAAGGGATAATTTTTAAATTCCCTCAAATATTTTAGCAAGTCTGAAATCTCAAATGTAACAAAACAAACACCTAAAAGGCGGTTGCACCAAATTGATACTAGGATTTTTCTATTTATTACCCTAGAGTACTATCATGTCATTGCAGTACAATATGTATCAATCCAATCATGTTTGATGCTAGCAATGATTAAGTCAAGCCAAGCATAAAAAGTTTTGTTTTCTAACAATCTAGGTGAATATGTTGAACATGCGATAAAATTAAAGTTGCAAAACATAGACTATAATACATAAACCAGAACGTAATAACTACTAATATCAGCAACAGAACAAAACAGGCAAATGACAAGTGAAGTAAAGCAAAGAACAAAAACGGATAGACGATCTTGAGGATGAGGTTGTTAAAGTAGTTGGAGCATGCTAATCTACTTAGGATATTTAACAAACTACAAACAAGTTAATCCCTGGACAATGAACTTCTAATACTAGTTAATCTAATTTCTTTGGAGAAACTATCAAGTCTAAAGTACTTCTTAATTTCAAATCTCTTTGATGAAACATACAATAAACATGCAACAAGAAGCAGCTCATTCATGTCAATAGATTTCTTAAACATTTAATCTCTAGTATTAGTTTTTCAGACATTTCCTCAAACACTTGGTAGGTGCTAAGATGTCGGGGATCTAATTCCACTTGATGAGAGAAGAATTAGCTATCAATACTCTAATCGAGAAGGGAAACAAAGTAATCTACCTTAAACACCCTAAAAGACTAACATTCTCCACCTAATATATGCCATCCTCAAGAACCGTAACACTACTCCAACACATAAATCATCCTAAACATCACAAACCCTTAAATCTCCAAAACATGCATAATAATAAAGAGGAAGGCAAGACAAACAAGAATGCCTAAAGAATCAAACAAAAAAACTTAATAACTTAAGAGAAATCTGGATTACAATTTTTGGGAAATGTTTGGTGGTTAACCACAAAGACCTAAAAATAAAAGCGATATCCTCTAGAAAATACTAAAAAAGACCTATTTATTGTACAAACTTAGAAACCCTAGTACATAAAACGACAAATATAAAAGCGGTTCAGGAATCCTCATGATCATGTTGGTTGAGTGGGCATCTCGAGTAACATACTGGCCTTGATTCTTCTTGGCTGCTTACTCAACTCTCACTCGATGGTGTCACTCGAAGATGTGCCTCGACTAACATGTGATCTTGCTCCGTATATGCTCATCTAATCAATCGTGTCACTAGAGTGTGTGATCGAGTGACATGTGATTTTTCTCTGCATCTCTTCTGTTACCTGACCGTGTCACTCGAGTGTGTGTCTCAAGTGACATGTGATTTTGCACTCCTCCGTTACTTGACCGCTTCACTCGAGTCTATGTCTCGAGTGACATGTGATTTCCAACTTCAATCTGCATATCTCCTAAGTACCTGAAAAACTCCAATCTACAAAGTGTATGCAAAATATGCACAAAAGCTATCTAAGTATGCAAAATAGATTGAAAATGGTGCAAATCAATAGGTGAACGAAGCTGAAAATATGATAAATACTTTTGGGATTAAGCTCAAAAGTGATAAAACATTGATATATCAACTCCCCCAAACTTGGTCTTTGCTTACCCTCAAGCAAACAAATAAGACAAAAGTGGAGGAGAGGTTTGAAAATGTGGTCTCGGAACCTAAAACATGCCAGATAGAGTAGTTGAAATCACTGTCCATGTTACTAAGTCGTTGATGCATGCTGAGAGAACATTACTTAAATAATTTAGACAAAATCATCAAATCTGAACTGATTTCATCCTTTGACCTACTCATGCATTCAAATCATTAATTTCTTTTAACATGAATCTGGTTGTGTAAGGCTTAAAAAGTCACTTGGCTATGCAAAAAAGGTTTAGAGACAAAGAGGGTTTAAACAATTTCAGAACAAGTATATCTCAAGGAATGGATTGAGCTTTAGGGAGAAGGCTAAAGGTGAGGACCAAAAAATGCATACATGAATAAAACCTTTACTACTAGAAGGTTCCCTATTGTTTACTCCTAATTCTCTAAACCCAAGTGATCCCAATTTCTACCTTTTAGCATCATTCCTTTTGAACATTCCCCTTTTCCCTTTTGTTCTAAGCTAAACATATGAATTAATCACATAATAAATACATAAGAAAGATTAATCTCGACCATCCATCAAGGAAAAGATGGAGGCATGTGTGACAAGTGGAAGCGCTGGAGGTCGACACATGTCCCTTATCGTGACAATTGTCACACATGCATGTGTTTATGAGACACATGTCGCGACTTCATGACACATGTCAGTTTCCGTGACACATGTCGCTATTATGCGACACTTTTCGTGACTCTCCGACATTTGTCTCCATTATGCGATATTTGTCGCTATTCCGAGAAAATTCTTGTGATTGCACGACACTTGTCCACATTCTACGACATTTATCGTTCGCATATACATGACATTTGTCGTACAATCCTTTTCCTTTTGCCACTTGTTCACTAACGGAAAACTCCTTTAGGTTACCAACTATATATAGCGGAATAACAATTTTGATAGAAATCGACGACTATACGACCACATAATAGAGAAATATATAACATTTCTTACATTCTCTCACTTGGTCGCAAGTTCAGTCCATTATGTATTCTAATAAGAAATCATAAGGCTGGCATAATTTGTTATTCCCTAGTCTTTTATTTGGTCATCATAAGTGTCTTAGCTAATCCAATAATCAATGAGAGTCATGGCGGTCACACATTAGTTTGCAACATGTTCCCTTCCATGTACTACTACATTGAACACTTTCATAGTTAGACCATAAGTAGGAGTTATCATAATGGTTCCTTTTATGTCTTTTAGTAAAGACGCATTATGTCCTCTTTATTTCAAAACAACAATAATGTGTACACATTGGAAACATAATGTATATAAAGATTTAAAATTCATAAGGAGCTCAAAATATTGTCAAATATAAGCTATATATAATCAGACGACTTTAATGAAAGCTATCCTCAAGACCCATACTTTCAGCATGCTTTATGAAGGTCTTGGGAGGTAATGCTTTCGTAAATATGTCTGCGACCATAAGTTCAGTGCCTATATGCTTAATGAAAAACTTTTATCTTTTAACATCTTGCTTAAGTGTTAGATATTTATGGTCCATATGCTTGGCGTCTTTAGATATCCTATCATGCTTCGAGAAGAAGATTGCGGCTTCAATGTCATAGTAAAGAGTTAGAGGTTTGTCAATAAAGCTCAACCCCCCAAACTCAGACCTAAAATTCCGCAACCAGATTCCATGAATAGAAGCCTCATATAACATGCGACATATTCAGCCTCCATGGTGGAAGTGTAGATCAACTGCGATTTTTGGCTTTTCCATGATATGGCACCTCCACAAAGGGTATACGCATAACCAAGAGTGTAGTGTCTAGAATCATGACATCCACCAAAATCTGAATCTGAAAATCCAACCATCTGTGGATGTGTTGATTTTCTATATGTCAGCATGAAATCTCTTGTTCCTCTAAGGTATCACAAAACTTTCTTTCCAGCTTGCCAATGCGCGATTACTAGGTTACTCTAAAATCTTTCTAACATTCCCACTGCATGGCTTATTTTAGGTCTATTACAGACTTGTGCATACATCATACTTCCCATAAGAGATGCGTAAGGGTTCTTCTGCATTTTCTTACATTCCATTTCATTATGCGGGTATTGTTTTAGACTAAGCATGTCACCTTTCTGCATAGGAGAAATGCTATAAGAACACATCATCATCACGTATCTCTCAAGAACTTTATCGATATATCGTTTCAGAGATAAGCCCAAAATTCCTAGTGATCTTTCACGAAATATTTTAATTTCTATCACATCGGATGCTTCTCCCATATTTTTCATTTCAAAGTTCTTTGAGAGATAACTCTTGGTCTCGTATAATAGACCAAGATCACTACTGGCCAATAATATGTCATCAACATACAAAACCAAAAATATGAACTTACTCCCACTGATCTTGAGGTATATACATGGATCTACTATGTTTTTTTTGAAACCGAATTTCGTAATGGTTTCAGTTAGGCCTGGGCGTTCGGATATCGGATCGGGTTCGGTTCGGATTTTTCGGTTTTCGGATTTTTTGGATATTGATTCTAATATCCATTCGGATATTTATAAAATTTGGTTCGGTTTCGGTTTGGATATTTCGGATTTCGGTTCGGTTTGGATATAACTGTGATAATTAAATTAAGGTTTGCAATCCACATATGAAAAGAGTTCCTGGGAATTGCTCCTTTGAACCAAACCACTTTCATGTTATACTAATCAGTTATATAATTAAATAATGTGCCCTCAATCATTTACTCGCTCATTTTGGTATCATCAAAACTTTGACTTTCTCCAACCTTGACCGGGCAAAAGAGATTACAAAATTACCAAGTGTTATTTGGTTCCAAATGAGTACTCTTTTAAGTAAAACAAATGGTTTTTAGTTTATTGTTTCATTTTTAGTCAAAAGCTCAACAAAAAGTGAAAACCCAAAGGCTCCTAGCAAATTTTGTTATTGAGACCTTAACTAGAAAAATGTTGAAAAATAAAATTTCGAATGACGGAAATGAGTAATATCTAGGGTCGACTCAATTAACCAGATTTGTTGTCCCATAAATAATAAATAATTTTTTTTTTTTTTTATATAGAAACTTCATAATACAAATTAGTAAAATAATTACATAACATAAGCAACATATAGTAATTACAAAAGAACGAAAGAACGAGACACCAAGAGACCGCTAACAAGCTTTTTTATGTTTTTAATTTTTGTAATTGATTGCACTCTTATGTAAAATTTTGTGTGTAGCTATTATAATCCTGTAGTTATATATATATCCCCTTACATACAATATATTCACATATAAACCTTTTTATAACCTAACATCCCTTTTCACAGTTTGCATAGAAGAGAAAGCTTACACACGTTAATTAATTTTGAATACAACACAAAAATCATTTTTTCATTCTTGAAACGCTCCGGCGATCATTGTAATGAAAGCACTAAACTTGCCTCCCTCTTCTTCTTCCCCACAATCTTCTGTTTCTTCTTCTTCTTCCTCCTCCAACGACTCATCTTCTTCTGCTTCCTCCTCTTCTCCTCCTCCTTCTTGTTCCTCTTTTGCACCTCCTCCGCGGTGGCGCCGAGGCTTAATCTTCTTGAGGGTGGTTCCAAGACCAACCATTGCTTTAGCTATCTTCTCTCTCTTTGATCCTTTCTTCTTCTTCTCTTCTTCTTTCTCATCTTTTGAGTGATGGTGAAGGTGGAATATTCCTCTATGCTTACGGGATTTCTCCTTCTCCTTTTCCGGCGACGACTCTTGTTTTTCGACGGCTTGTTCGACGTGAGCAACCTCCACGGTTTCACATAATTGTTTCACCATCTTCTTTCTCTTTATGTTTCTTTCCCTTCTCAACGAGAGCTTCTTTTTAATATTATGCTTTGAGCTCTTTTGTTTGTGATAAACACTTTAACACTTGTATAGTTATATATATACATGATCCACACCACTTGCTTTTTTTTTATTTTGCATATATGATCATATATATATATATATATAACTCGCTAATTTTGGCAACTAGACTTTGACTTTCATCTAACAGTGACAGAGAATAAAAGAGATTAGGGATAACATTAAGTAGTGCTTTTTAATTTTAAAAACATCATTAATTACATGCATGAACTGAATTAGTGTTTAAATTAAGTAAAACAAGTGGTGTTTTAGTTTTTGCAAACATTCTTTTAGTTACCCAGAGGCAACTATGAAAACTATAAGCTCCCATTCTATTGTCTTTTCTTATTAATAGTTTCCAGTACACATAAAAAAAAAAGGATCCTTAAAAAAAAACGACAATCTATCGTTGGTATATTGGTATAAATTAAAAAGTCAAACGGAGTTGTGTTTGTTTTTTTTACCAATTTTAGAGCATAAAAAATCTAAAATTCCCAATATTAATACCAAACACAACTCCTAAAGGTTTTGACAATATAGAGCTCACAAACCAAAACATGAAAAGATTTATGAAGAAAATATTAGAAACCTCCAAATAAGATAAAAAAAAAACCTGTTGATATCGAATGGTTAAAATATATATACATATCGTATTGGTATATATATATATATATATATATATATTTATTATATAATATTTAAGTAGCACAATATTTTTTTGCAGTAAACCAGGATAATAAATTAAGATATTTTGTGAATTTTTGAACTTAAACTTGTTTTGGTTATAGTCAAAGCTGGTTTTACCTATCAAATTGTTCCAAACCCAACGACTCAATATATTAGAAACCATAAAGACAAATGTACGAATGCACAAGCCCAATTAAATTTAGCACTTTTATATATATTTATTTGAAGTAGTATATTAAAAAATTTAAATATTGTTTCTACAAAATAAAATACTATTATTTCAGAATATTTTGAGAAAAATAATTACATTCCATAATAATATTGATTGACTCGGATTAGTTGGACATATAAACTAAGAGGGTGTTATTAGTTATGTAAGTGAAAGTCAACTCCATTAGATTTTAAAGTTTATCAGATTTGAAAAAATTGGGTGTAATGAAACTGAATTACTTATTCATTTTAACAAACCAATGGCTTCCACATTTACAACTCCACATCATAGCATTTGATTTTTAACAATTGAATTAAACTCTATAACATATGATTTTGACAATCAAATGATTCCTAGCAGAACATAAAACCACCACACACATGCATTTCGTTAAAACAGATCTTGCATTTTTTGCAAGTTAATATCATTATACCTTCAGTCAAAACAAATTAAAAAAAAAAATCATTTTTTGCAAGGTAATAGCAACAAAAATCAAAAGTGAAAAAGATGAATCATACAATCAATAAATGATCACTAGCTATGAATGGAGATAATAAACAGATGAAAAAAGGAGAGAGGGAGAATTAAAATGCATAATTACCATGAAAATGAATAAAAGGGAGACGTAGAGAGAAAAGAGAGGTCACATATGTGACATAATATGCAGATTTTTGTTTATCACAAATGATTGTGAAATCTCAAGCTAATGGGTTGGTGTTAGAATTGATATAGTTTACACGTGAAATCAGTTTCAAGATTCATTCAAATCTTTTCAAATAAAATCATTAGAGTTAGTCTCTATTAAAATTCACTTACGAATAACACCACCTAAAAGAGATTGGATATAAAATGAAAAAAGACTTGGTCAACGAGCATAAACAATGAATTACCAAGTGACTATAGTAATTGGCCTTCATCCACTTGGACTCGTAAATGTATTTTTTGTTGCGATAACAAATATTTTATTTGCAGGTTGATTAGTCAAATTGTGTTAAGAGTTTTGGAGGAGTAAGACAATTAATATTTATTGTTTATGATACTTCTCATCTATCCATGGCCAAGCTTATCTTTAGTGTTAAATTTAATAAAGATGAATAAAAAGGCTTATATAAACAATATGCTATAAATATTCCAAGAAATGATGCCATCAACTAGGGCGCTATAGGCCACTAATCACTCGCTCGTCAGCCGCTTGGGCTCTGTATTTCAAGTTCGCTCCGGTGAGTAGGAAATAAAAATATCTATTCTAGTTGTATTATCAGCTATGGGTTTGAATCGTTTTTCATTGATAGTAAAATTTTATTCAAATTAAAGCTTGCTAAGAAGTCAACATAATAGTGGGGGCTGAACTTATTTGTTGGACATTAAATATCTCAAATAACATGGTCGATATGTAAGATTACCTTAGAACTCATCCAATTCGATTACAATCTCCCAAAAGGAAAAGCTATAATGAGGAGTTTCCTTAGTCGTAGCTCACTTTGCTTGTGTACCGTCCAATGTTCGACTATCATAGTATACAACGTGAAAATCGTTATACTTCCTTTGATCAAGTAAAATTCCTACAACTAAATCACTTGCATCACACATGAACTCGAAAGGTAATATATGTTGGACGTGGCTTCATGATTGGAGTGGAAGTCATGATATATATCAATTATAACCCTATATACTTTTGGCTCGTTACAAATTAAAGAGCAGTTAGTTAGTTATTGTATTAAACCGAACAGCTCTTTCAGTGCTTATTGTAATCTCGACGATCCCTGAACGATTCAATAAGATAGTTCTCTTTGTTCTGTCTCTTGTTCTGTTACAACTTTATATAACGACAACCACCCGATCATCAATTGGCGTCCACAGTGGAACCGGAGCAAGAGAAAGATTTCTTAGAAGATCACGCTGATGTAGCGATTTTTACCCGATCAGTTAAATTATCGAACCTCAAGGAGCAATTAATTAACACACCAAGAATACACAAATTTGCTTAATCTAAGCTTAATAAGAGATGAGTTTTGATTTCTAAATGTAACTAACAATGCAATTTAAATCAAACAATGCAAAACAAGATGAAAGAAAGCAATAATCAAAAGACTAACAAGATTCGAATTGAAACAAAGCGGGAAAAGACAATTACTAAGCAATAATTAAAGATGAATCCTCGGGTTAAGGTAATTGACTAGGAGTGATAATGAAGCGGATTATGGAGCTAACAACTTCAAACAAGCATTAATCCTTAGGCCATAGATACTAAACTAGACTAATCCATTTCCATGACAATAATCACTTTACTAATCAAATAATCATCAACTTCTTCCAAAGGCAATTAAATGATCAACAAGCATTAAGAACAAGTCTATCTAGCCACTAAACATCCTAATCAACATTTTCAAATGGCAAGGAGTGTAAAGCACTTAAAAGTTTTGGTTCGGGAATTTCATCGAACACCTTCCGGGCGTGAAATTCCTAAGCTCTAAATCAACATTAACAAAGTTGATTTAGCCTTATTAGCAACCAATAAGCAAGGATCTTGGACAATCTAATCCTAAACTCCATAACCCAACTCCAAAATCCTCCTAATCTACCTAACCCAAAGATTCAAAATGACTACTCACTCATGGTCATGAAAGCACAAAGTAATGTGTTTGATCTTTGTGAAATCATGATTAGAGATTGTAGATTAAGATAAGGAAGAAATGCTTATATTAAAACTTCAAGATTCAAATACAAAATCCAAGAAAAAAAACTTAAAACATAGCATAAGATCCATAATTTTAGGCTTTGAAACATTTATATAGTATAAGAAATTGATCCGGGTCAACCCGAGATGAACCAGGTCAAACCCAAAGTCTTTATATCCAACCGGTCGATTGTATGGTCGATTGAAAACTTGTTTTGGCGTCTGTTTCACTCCAACCGACCTGCCAACCGACCTGTCGGTCGATTGGAATTTTCGATGGCTTCTATCTTCGTTCTGTATGGGTATACTCTCACTAAATCAGTCATAACTCATGAACCATAACTCTGATTGGCCTTAAACAACCACCGTTGGAAAGCTAATTCGATTTCCTATCTCTTTTGTTCAGAGCTTCAAAGCTAAATCACAAGTTCAAGCCTTCGGACTGGATCTGCATCATCAGTCCTCCACTTTGCATTCAAATATGTGTCTTTATTATCTTAACCTGAAATAGCTTAAAAGGCACCCAAAACACACTAAAACACACTCAAAGACACTATATGACTTCTAAAAAGCAAGAAGACTCATTTAGACACTAAATGCAACAAAACACAATGAAAATACAATTGAAACATGATAAAAAGGATAATAAAACCCTTAATAAAGCTGTAAATATGATGTGTATTAACTCCCCCAGACTTGCCTTTTGCTTGTCCTCAAGCAAACAATCTAAATAAAGGCCAAGAGAGAAGCTTGAAGGAGGACTTCAATAACCACAAAATATCAAGCAAATGATTCAAACCAAAGTCCTCAAAGATAGTTCAAAGGTGCTTCAATCAATCATCGTACTCTCAAATATTTTCTCATGCCTAAGTTAATGCAATCTTCTAGTTCATTCTCATTCCATTAGCAAAGACTCACAATCAAGTTGAAACATCTCTTTAACATTCATTAAAGTGTTTGGCGCGGTCTCGCAAATGGTAAGTGAATCAATCTCAATCGGTTTAGGGTAAAGGCTTTTTGAGGTGGCTTTGTTTGTTTGTTTCTTTGGGTGACTAACTCTCGAATGAAAGGAATGCTAGACAATCATGAAATCCATCTAAGACCAAGAACAATTTATGCATACAAATATTAGCTCTTGTTGTTCTACCCATCTTAGATATAGGATCCTAATTTCTACCCTTTGCAAACCTTTTTATTTCTTTCTTTTCAAACCACACCCATTGGACACTTTTGGTCTCTTTTCTTATCAACACAACCCTCATGATCAAAACCTTATTATTCATAAGCCACCTAGGGAACCCTTTCTTTAAACATTAAACTCTTATTTAATCCCACTTTCTTTGTCAACCTTTGCAAAACTTTTCCTTTTTTGGAGACTATCTTACCCAATTCTTTCTTTTACTTAGGTCTAG